TCGTATCCACACGACTTTGATATTCTATCTTTGGGTTGGATGGGCCTAAATGTTCTTGTATCCAGCTCCAAAACACCATTGTCGAATGCAAGGAGCCGCAAGTCAAGATCCAAAGTGCCTTGAAAGCCTTTAATATGAAGGAAGGCATCACGAACATGTAGAGCGAGTGCATCCACCGTCATCTGTCCATAGATTGCATCAGCCTTGCCAAGCTTTTCACAGTTCAACCACTTCTTTGTGGCACGAATGATACGTTGGCTCGCATCGAGTGCTAGGAGGCCACTTTCACGACGTTCAGCTTGTCTGAGGAACCGAGAAAGGATTCCATTTGGAGTTGCACCTTTGCGAATAAGCTGTTTGACCAGATCGGTTCCGTCATGAAGACACCAGAGACCTTTTGCATTGGTTTGCCAATAAGCCCTTCCATCCCAGACAATGGTACCATTAATAGCTTCAGCAAAGACATTTGCAAGATTTATAAGGGAGGCGTTTGAGGTCAACCAGGTTGAGAGATTGTTGCCAATGCCAATTGGCAGGGAGCCACCATGACCCAAGAAATAATCTTGTAGTGTAACTGGCAATCCAGAAAAAGTAGATAAAACATGGGGTTGGAAACGACTACAATCACACGTTATCGAGAGTCCATGTTCGTCCAGACAGATAGAATTGGTATGGTCATCGGTGGGGTCGTTCACTTTGAATCTGCAGCAGTGGTCTACTCTAGGCATGACAAACATGAATGCTTCATGATACCACTCCATTGGACCAAATTGTGAAGAGAAGAGATTATGTGATGCCATGACTGTCCAAAAATCTCGAGGCAACTCTGCATGTTGAATTATTTGAGGCGTAATCACATCAGGCATCGGTTCTGCCTCAACGTCCAGCGAATTACTAGTAGTAATTGTCATATTACTATTGGGAGCAAACAATTCTACGATAGGCTCTGTCTTTACAGAATCCTCAATGTCATGCGAATCACCATTACTTGTCGTCATGTTTCGAACTGTGACGATAAAGCGTCAGAAACCATTTGAAGAAGCACCAACTAGAATTTACCTTGTTCGATTGCGACGATGGATGTTGATCTGCGGGAAGAAACTACTGTTGATACACCTGTCTATGATACTGACAAGTGTGAGAATTGCGTGGGTGATTTGTATTTCAAGGTTATTCCTTTGAAATACCACGAAAACAACAGCATACATTAGCATAAAATACCAACATACTTTTGTTTGTCACAGTAGTATACGTTTTCACTCACAACATACAATGGCCTTCACTTTCACGTCAAATTGTAGGATATGTATGGGTTTCTTTTTGGCCGTAGATAGGAGAGGAGGCAAAAAGCAAAGTTCAGTTTCAGTTAAAGAACTGCTCAAGATTCCAGTGGAGATCTTCTATTGAAGTACTGTGGAGGTGTGTGTGAACTGAAACTGATATTCAGTTTCGTCGCTTGTCAAAGAGGAGCTTTTGCCTTACATATGGTGGTGAAGTAGAGTTTCAGTTCAGTTTCAGTTACGAGTGCACTGTAGATCTCGTATTAAAGTCCTGTATCTGTGTGTGTGAACCGATGAAATTGCAATTTCACATTGCCGCTTGTCAAGATGGAAACAAGAACTTTTGCCCTTGCGCTTTTGCCTTTCATGTTGTGGTCAACTGACGTTCAGTTTCAGTTAGGAGTACAGTGCAGATAGGTGGTATTGTACTAGTACTCTGGTTATACGTGTTTAAAAGGGTTGTGTATGGCAGACTAGGTAAACTGGCAAACAGGGATAAACTCTGCTAAAACAAACATGACTTTTGAAGTCTCATCTACATTCATAGCAATAGTAGCAACGGCCTGACGACTATGAGCACATCAATGTCGCCATCACCGTCAACTTCCGCTAGTTTCAGCGGTTAGTTTCTAGGATTCTGGGGTTTTACGATCTCAAAACATACAGCAATGTTGTCGACAAAAAAAACTCCAACGAGACCTACAATACTACCGGCACTTCACAAACTTGAAATTGCTTTTTTGGCTACTCTTGGAAATGTCAGAAACCCCGTGGTGAAGCTGGCAAGATATCTTGATTTACAGGCGAATTTCCGGTCTGGTTTATGGAACGGATATAGGTGGCAGTACTGACAAGGCAATGGTACATGGTAGTTACGAACGCCGCCATATTGATTTACCTTGTCTATCAGCAGAATAGTTTGTTTAGTTTGTGAGTAATGACTTGGAACTCTGCAAGTATCACACGTTCTGCAGTCTACTTGGACACGTTTCTTCTCCTGATCTACTATGTAATCGGGACAAGAATTCTTACCGCCATTTGATGTTCTTACCCAATAAAATTTAAGGAATTGAAACGCACTGTTGTAAACAGGTTTGGACGATGGTGTCAACCGTCGCGAGAGTATTGCAAGAAGATTACAGTCCATCAGTCGCCCATTGTCTCTATGCCACTAGAGAAGAATCTTTTTCAATGCAATATATGGATTTGACAAAACATGGGTCAAAAATGTGTAATTCACGGCGCCCATCCCGATACGTCTTTTAATTGTAACCAGTCACTACTTACAAGCAATGGTTGCGTAGTACCAAGATGTGTATATGCTAGGTACTGTAGCTTGCAAACTCGCATTTTGTAAGGACTAGTCATATTGTTTTGTCAGTTACATGTAATTAGATCCAGCATTACTGTTTCTAGTCTTTATGAGTAGATCGATATATACGAAATCCTTATTACTGACTGCCCTGTAAATATTGCGACAAGAGTGTTTTACGTTTGAATTGGTATACTATGAGTAAACAGTCAAGAACGATCGGTACTTAAAAGACTGACAAAAGGTGCCTAGCTCTGCAATCAAAGCAAGCATCGTTTGTAAAACCCCCCTTTTACTTACAGAAGATCCAATGCAAATCGAGCCGGTAACTTTATTATGCCTTAACATATTGACTAGACGTTGAAAGTGACTACAAAAGTTTCTCGCTTTAACGCAAGGTACCAATTTTAGAAAACTCTTGCACTACAGCTTTCATGTCCGTTCGGGACACGTAGTCGAAAACCGACAAAGATAGTCTCACAAACATCTTGACCACGATCCGCCCTGATTGCCATCACAATCGAGGCTGCTATGGTTTGGTCAAGGATTTGTCACGTTTTTTGGACATTAACGGCGTCAGAGGCTTGTCGCCAAGTAAGCTCTGTCACGTTTACGAGATTCTGCACAAGCTTTCTGGGGTTTCAGTTACAGCACTTTTCCTCGGGGTTTGCCTCAGGATCCTAAAATACAAACGAGGTCAATATACACGAACGCACATTCTTTGCAAGCACATGATTTGCAACGCGTTGCTCATTTTTTTATGGGTTTGTACTCAAAAGTAATGTCTTTAGTAGAACAACAATTGTACGTGCTCGTTTCCCCCTGTCGGTTTATTCAACGTGTTACGCCAAGTGAAATGATGAATATTGTAGCCACCTTTGACGCGAAATTCGACGCAGAACACAACGTTTTCCGTGGTACCACCCGATGTGACTGTTACAGATGCAACTACCGGATGGGAACGGCTATAGTACTACAAACCGTTGTATGTAGCGGACCACTGGAAACAGATCAAGAAATCAAAGAAATGATCCAGCGAAACATCCAGGTTCCTGAAGATTTCCATTTGTATTATTGCAAGAGCCATCGGAAGCCGATCTGTGAAATGTGTTGATTGGTATATTTCCAAGTTCAGAACGCTCAGTTCCGACAAGCGTAGACCATCTTGACGATTTCTTCACAATGACCGACATTTTCCCCATAAAACAGGGCCGACTATACTTCTACCACAGCAACATGGAAATTTCTTGAGGTGTCTGAAAAAGAGACACTTTTGCGGGTGTCTAGAGGTACAACTACATTGTACATTAGCCCATACTGAAATGCTTGCAGGCTTTGGTGTTTGACTGTGATTTCAGTAATGGATATAATCGACAAGAGTTGCAAGGTCAAACCAGTCATTTCAAGACCTCTGTAGTCTGGGTTTGTTTTTGAAAGTTCAACCAAATTGACCATTTCACACATAAAGAGTATTGCGAAAATGTTTCCAAGGTTTAACGAGAATTTTCATACAGAGTATGAAAGAAAATGTCCCAAAAGGTTCGTCATTTCACAGAACAGTGTCTTGTGAAATACAAGTTTTTAAACCATAAGTATCGAATACAGACAATGTACTACTGAAAGCCAAGTTCAAAAGACCTGCGATCATTGCAAGAAGTGTGTAACTTCCAACACCATTAACAAATGCAAAGTCAATGTAGTATTTCACACAGGCATTGTCAAAGGTTTTACCTGCTCAAACTTGTCACAGAAATCTTGCTTTGTACGTAACGTGAGACTTCGAGTATTTCACATAAGTTAAAAATCTAGTGAGGCGACATATAAAAATATGGATAAAAATATCTCCTCATTTTATATGTTGGCAAGAACGGTTGTTTATTTTACTTACATCGTATTGGAGCAGATTTCTGATCAAACAGGGTTACAGACGGACCTTTTATTGTAGACCCATTGACATTTTTGTCAAGGGTATTTCCAACATTTTGCAATACATCACCTTAAAAATTGTTGAACTGTAAATCTTGGAAAGAATGTAACCCAAAGTAGAAGGAGTTGAAGACCACGTTCGGAATCGGTTTTGTACCCCAGTACGTCTTGTATATTTTGGTAGTAGTGAAAAATGCCGGAAACATTTTTGTCACCGACTGAAGGCTAAGAGTATTGAATGCAAAGCGTTTAAATTTGTAACATTCAGTCTCATATCATAAAATTCACGTCAAATTCGTCGTCTTGCGCGTTCAATTTGAAACTGGAAGGCCGAGTGCCTATTACGCCTCCCAGCTCTCAATGGCAAGTTGATCGTCACAGTTACCCTGCGAGGCCGAGGGTGGCGAAAAGAATACCCGAAACTGCAACGTAAAATCGTTTGTTCTCGAGGCTCGCAAAATTCGTAAACCATTTGTACAATTTCAATCGGTAACAAACATCTTGTTTGATCCATTTGTTTGTACTATGCAAAAGTAGAAAGGTTATCCAGTGCTTACTAGATCACGAATGTGCAGTCTTGAACAGGTTTCAGATCAGTTTGGTCCAAACGGGGTGATTCTGTATGTCACTTTGAAAGTTCACCAACAGTGTGAATCAAATTAGTTTGAGTCGCAATTTGGCTTGAAAAAAGGTGTGTGACATCTGGTACATTGAAAGTAGCCAAATTTCAATATAAGGGCCTTCTTTGGTTGCATTGTAGTGGCTTGCGGTAAAGTGTGTTGCTTGACACCCAAGACACTAGAAGTACCAACTTTGACCTTTTTGCTTACATCCCATCCTAGCGACGTCAGTTCGTCCTTCACATAGCTTGAACCAGGATAACTACCTCCAACGTTCTGTGCATGCCACTCTTGGAACTGTTGGTAGATCGATGATAGCGCGATGTTATCACCTTTGTTTGCATCCTCAATTCTATCGTTTACAAACTGTAAAACAATGGTTGAGCTTTCCTTGTATTCTGCCGTCTTTTGAAGAACCTTGGCAGTTGGAACAAGACCCTCTACTTGATATTTCTTGTAAAAAGTAATGAGTATTTTCATGAATGCCTGACGCCACTGAATCGTCTTGATGTCATCTTTCAGAGATTTATTGATTGGTCGTTCATGGGGATGGACTGGTAGATCGACAAATTTGGTAGGAAATTCAATGATACGACTTCGGATCCATACTGCCTCGTCGTTAGAGTCCATAACAGGAATCTTGTTGCACAACACAATCAGTTTGTATTTAGGATTGTATCGTACGATAGTGTTGCTATTCAACGGGCGACATACTACTTCGTCATTGCCCGTAATCCACTTCATGAATGCCGAGTTGATCGCACGTCCCCTTTCAGGTTCAGATGCAATAACAGCTCTACATCCTTTGAGAGCAACCATGTCTGCTTGTGGCGCTGAGCTGGTGGGCTTCTCTCCTGTAAGCATGGTGCTAGAGACAGTTGCGTAGTATTCTCCCAGAGTCAGTTTGATCAAGTCAGACAAGAGTGATTTACCATTCCTCGTGGTGCCCGCAAAGACGGTAAAAATCTCTTCGCGATTAGAACCGTGAATTAAAAGAGAGAGAAATATCAAGAGATGGTGACGTTCGTCTACGTTTGGTTGAATGTCTTGCAGGAGACTGTAAACTTTCTCTTCAAACTCTGCAGAATCTTCCACCATGTAACAGTATCCCACACTCTTTGAAACAAAGTCATCAGGCCGACCTGAGCGAAAAGTGTGTGTCTTGAAATCGTATACGCCATTGTCAAATCCCAAAAGATCATTTGATTCATCTAGCTTGCTCTCAAAGTCGGGGTTGGAATTATAGAAAATTCCACTACTGTGTTTTGTGTAGTGTGGAATATCCTTGTTGCCAACTTTCTTGATTGTAGAGGTAATTTGCTTGAGTTGCTTTTCTTTTAATTCGCTTTCGGGGATGTGATCTTGATAAAACCGTTTCATGATCTGTAGTTTGCTGACCACCAACTCGGGAAAGTAAATGTCAATGCCCTGGAGACATCTCCTCCATCGGTGATCTCTAAATTCAAACCAACCTTTAGAAGGGACATGGTTGAAACGAGACTTTGCGACGTGAGCAATTCCGCCGTCGACAGCACGATAGACAAGACCATTCAAGTCAGGATCGTCTGGGAATACAGGATACACTTCGTCAAAGTTGGAATCGAGGTCAGCATTGTCTCCAGCAAAGTGGTGTGTGTCAGTGTTGTTTACAACACGATTGTCAATATAGACAGACCCGTAAATGACAAGAATTTGTGACTGAGAAAGGACTATGGATGGATTGGGAAAACTAATACCAGGCTTCTTAGTGCAGCCTATAGAGCCCTGTACGATATTGGCCATTTTGGACATTTGGAAATAGGTACACTCTGGGCTATGTTCTGCTTGACAGATGGGGCACGGAATTCCGGATAGGAATGTTTGATGAACATTGGGAGAAATCTCTTGTAAGGGCCCTAGATTTGGCTGGTTTGGCAAATGTGGCGCAATCAGGTGATTGATTACTTGTAGTCTATCATCTGTTGACGAGGATACTTTTGCAATTACCTACTACATAGAGTACTACTTCAGAGAAAGTTCCTTGCTAGATACTACACACGACAAAACGTCTTTTGTGTATTTGATCAAGTAAATTCGATCATTTGCAATGAGCGATCGGTAGGTACAATCCAAATTCGTTTGTGAGTAAACTTATGTTTTACTTCAAAAAACATATTTGGACACGATTAAACAAAAGTGGCGATCAAGTAGACAATATTCAGCGAGTATCAAATCGACGCTCCGTTCAGTCATCGATAAGGTACTCCTCTGTCATCGGATCCGTCACTTGAAGTATTTCACAGACTCGTGCTGCCATCTCATCCGAGAGTCGTTCCGTTCCACAATTCGATGAAAAGCACTTTATACTGACCTTGCCACCAATAACCAATAGACTGTTGCTGGGTTTTTTGTGAGTTCGCTGTTCGTGTTGAAGCAAACAAATTTGGCTCTCTGAACTTAGAGCAATGCCATAAGACAGTACTTTCAACTTCCAGGAGTTGTTCGAGGGCAGCGATGGGAATAGTTTATTCAAACACGAGATTTGCTCAGGGGTCAAACTTGTGTTTGATTTGGACGGCATTTGACGCTTGTGAAGAAAATAAAATGCATTGCTGCGTTCAGGAGTAGACTTTCTCAGAATGGCGGGCATCATGAGACAATGGAGGGGTAGCGCAAGACGGGACGAGTCGTCGTTATTGTCATTCAAAGAATCGAAAGGCGGCAAAAACTGCCCTAATGCAATCCTTTTCAATCACGTGACTCAATTCTGATCATTTCGTTTGTCAAACAGTGGGCCCGTAGTTTTAGTGTGGTGCAATTCGACTTTTTTATTGGCGTATCTGACGTTACTGAGACTGGATTGTTCGTATTCCAATTTTCTCCGCTCGTCACAAGGGGTATGTCGTTGTTTGAATGCAAAGTGTTCTTTCCCACTTCAAAGATGCTGGCGACTTGCTAGAGTTGCTTGAAACGAAATTTGTACAGCGAGGTCTCGACAAGACAAAGTTGACTACGTTGAATTCATAAACGCCATTGGAGCAAGGAAATTCAGGACCACAACCTTGTGAACGCGGTTTTTAAACCTGGATATTTAATTGTACAAATCTGCCATGTCAATTCATACGAGATCTGTTGTTTCATTGTCTCGACATGTTCTGGACTTGATCAACAAAAAACCCTTCGAAAAATGTATCTATCGACTTCAAAGCAGCAAGAAAATGAAAGCACCATTAGATGGCGCGCATTTTAATATCGTCACATATTGATGCGATTTCTATAATTTAAAGTGAGCGATCGATATTGAAACGAGCAAGGAGTTTGAAAGTCGATTGTGCAAAGACTTACTCAAAACACAGTTGACTCCAACAAGGACTTGATGCAGGCACTCAAGATCGTAGTGCGAAAAATGATCAAAACTCTGATCATTCCACAAGGATTGGAGATCCTGAAAAACAAACAGTGACAATATCTTTGGTCTGGACAGTGAATCAGCAACTCTTAAACGAGCAGCTTTTAGTACAATATGAAAAGATTCGAAAGAAATCTTAATTAGACGACATCGACCACTGTGATGCCACGCAAGAAGCAGCACTTGTGCAACGACAACCACGGCTTGTGAATTATCAATATCCTTGTGGTTCGTGTCACGATGGGACCCAAGAAGCTGTCATTTTTTAACTGTATATACTACAAAAAAGTATCCTGGTTTCTGATGTATTCAAGGACCAAGTGTGAGGCAAAGTGTGGTGTAAATAAAACCGAAAACAGCAAACACGATGACAGTTTGATTTGGCTGAGAATACGTGTTTTACGTGTTTTTGCACTCCAGATTCGTGCCACAACAACGCGGCCGTTACCCTTTAAATACCATTTTGACACGTCGATGGGAAACGTGCGTTGTAATGTGCGTGATACATTCAGAGAAGCATGCAAATTCAAGCATGCCAATTTTACATCTCCTTTTAAAATCTAATTTGCGGGTATAGTAGTCGTCGTATCTCGCGTGGTTTGGCCATGATCTCCCGTCTAATGTCGCACCAAAACTGTTTGTCAATGGTTCAGTGCTCACTGTGCACCGGCGGCTTCAAGGCAAACCGTACATTGAACCGCCACTACAGAGAACACCACCTGCGGGAAGACTTGGTGACAGACCCTCGTCAAAGTGACAATGTTGTGACTGGGTAAGCAATTCGTGGGAAATTCATTTAGAACGATGGGATCTGGGATTTTCAGGATGAATCCTCATCAAATTACGATAACAATGTAGAGCCGAATACCGACGGCAGCGGCGGCGTGCTGCATCGGAACGCAAGCTTGTCTCCCGGGCCAGGATTGAAAACATGTACGTGCTGTGAAGTATTGAGAAGAGCATAATGATTTGACGGAAGCCACTTTTACATCACCTGTTGAAACGCAAATTTCTGGCTCGCCCATCGTTCTATCGTTCGTTGGTTGGTCGTCATCCCCCGTCATATATTGCACCAACCTCTACGCGCAACCCAATAGGTCCAGCCGCCTGAGCACTACCTCTCATGCTAAGAGGTCGCAACTCTCACAGTTGATGAGGGGCGTATCCAGCCCAGTATCAGAAAACAACAAAAACCTCAAATATCCAGATATTTGAACCCGATATTTGAACTTATCTAAATAAAAGACAACTTATTTAGATCTTATCAGACGTGTAATTTTGTATTTGATCTACATCTAAGCTTAGTTCAGATATCAACTTTTCAAAATATCTTTCGGAATACTAACTGTCTGCTTATTACGCAATTCTCACTGGCAAGTTATGCAAAAGTTGTTTTTTTGCTTCGTCTAGACAAATACGGGACTTAATCAACAAAAAGTCTCTGCAAAAGTGACAGATAGTGATTGTTGTGTATAAATGATATATTTAAGGCTCAAAGTACTTTGGGCACATGAAAACGTCTTGCAAAAAACTTCTTTTCTGCGGAAAAGCTAGCACACTTTCAGCTTTTTGTTTGCAATTTCATCGCAATTTCACGTCTTCAAATTTTCTATCGTCATTTCATTATGTATTCTCCGTATTTTAAAGCCAGCGATCGATATTCAAACGAGCTTTAATTTCCCACATTCAAAAAAGGTTTATGCAAGTGTTTCTTTAAAAAGATTTTACCGCAACTTGAAAACCTGGACGTAAGTGCTCGCCGATTGGGAACTCAATGGCAAAACAACCCCTGGCAACATTCGTTTTTCAGACTGTAAATCAGCCACTCCTAAAAGAGCACATGTTACTAGCCTGTACACGGATTCTATGACGAGAATAGTAGTCAGACAAATTTGACTGCGCCTAGATTTAGAAACGCAACACCTTTCTGTCAAGCTACCCCCAGTGCACATTAAAGTGAGCAGAAATTTGCTCAGAATGCACAAATTGATTTGCGAATACACTTTGCAAAAACCTCTTGAAATTTCGAAAGATCTGACATTGACAGAACCCAGGGTTCAGAAATGGATTGATTCACTGGAGACGCTTATAACAAGATTGCCCAAAATTTGGAGCACGACCCTGACGAGCTGTCATATCAGGCGTCTGAATCTGCCAAAGACTGGATTACTGAATCGTCAAGTACCCAAACGTCCAAAAAACCGATGACTCGGATTATTACGAATCATCAGATAATATGAGTGAAGAAAGTGTCGATACAACTAGCATTGACGATTTTTCAGATTCAGAGATCTATACATGATACCTCGGTGTCCAACGATTCCGAGTTTTAATAGTCTCTCAAACCTAACATCACGACAATGACGATTGTCTCGATTTCCAGCTAGTGTTTTCAACGTCATATTTCTCGTTGTAGAAAATCGCTGTGGTATTTGACGTTTGTCACGTTTTTTGGATGCCATTCTCATAAACGATAACGACGTGACAAGATGTCACTAGCGATTATTGTACTTTTGCATTTCACGAAACCTACAATCTATTCTTGGTTTTGGTCGATTTTTGTTGATAAAGGTTCAGTGATCAGCCTCTATCCGTTACACCCCGCCCGTCTCAATCGAAACGTGTTCCGTAGATTTATATCGCATGTCGGTATGTATATTGTTATATGCTCGGTGATGTAACATGTACCTCGGTACGTATATTCTAACTGGTCGGTGATGCAACATGTAGCGTAGTTTATGAACGTCAATCTTGACTGTGTGTGTTATCTAGAGATTGCCATCCTGCAAAGCTTGGCTGACCTCAAGCATTCTAGAGTAACTACAAAACCCTTTGGACCCAAAGAATCGAAAGCTATGTTGAGAGTCTCTCATATATCAATCATGTATGTAAACGATTTTGTGACGACACATTTCTCTCTGTGACAAACAATTTATTTTAAAGTCACAATTTCAATTGAAACGTCTCTGGAGTCCTTTGGAGCTGATTTACAATTATTTAAAATAATGTAAAAGTGATGGTAAGAGTGTGACTTTGTGACTTCTTTTCCAAAGACTTTGTAACAATTTCCCTTTTTCGTGAATACTCTCACAACAAGACGTTATGGCAGTAACGACCAAGTTGTCTTTCTATCAAACAAGTCACAAAGTCACGGAGTGTCTTAATCGTCAACTGTGCCGACGTGTTATCATCATGATGGTATACAACCTGAAAGTCACATTGGGTAACAAGAAAGTCACAAACAAGTCACAATGGCAAAATCATGTGTTTGGTGCTAACATTCGGACCTTTCTGGTTTTTCGGCTCCGAAAAGGTCGTGGTGCGTTTGAGGCGTTTTTTTTTCGGCAGCACAAGACAAAACCGATTCATGACAGAATTTACACAAACAACCAAA